AACTTCCAGAACTTAAGGACTTTCTCCCCATTTTTCTCTTCAACTCCTGGTTATAGGTCACCAGTAAATGAGCAGATAAAATGAACCCTTATCTACTGCATGCAAACAAGCTGTCTGGAAACACTTAAATTGGCTGCAGAGCCATTTTTATGTAAACCCTGCACACAGACACATCTAGAGACCTTCCCACTGTAGGAGGAAATCAGCTGAGAATGGTCTGAAAGATGGAATGGTGTCAGAACAGTTCACCCATCATATAGTTGTTAGAGACACAGATATTCCAGTCAGTATCCAAACCAGTTAAAAGGTAAAAAATTTTACTATTGTAAAACTTATTTTTCACCATTATCTACACAAAAATTAAAACCTATTAACTTCATACTCATCCTTGYCTTCAAAGAAGAACACAGTACACACTTGCAAAATATTTTCCATGTTGAGGTGATTAATTGGATATATGGAGCTAGAAACAGAAGTCATCTGCCACAATCATCTATCCCAGACAATAAAATGCCCAAAGGCAAAAAAATACTGCATGGATCTTACACAGATCAGTGGAGTTTTTATGCTGAAAACGTTATGAGGCCTTTATCCCACCTATTTAATTGGTTCTGGTGCTGCATGTTATTCTTGTTACTTATATAAAGACAGTGCTGGGAAACCAACTGATTTAATCATTATATTAAAGGGTAATAAAGACATGAAATCCATGCTCTTTTGCCTTTTACATACATACATTGTAATTTTGTGACAAGTCATAAGTTCTGGTGCAGCTTTTGGGAATTTATTTGCTGCAGCAGCTGCAGCCTGTGGAGCAGGGTGGTTTGGTCAGAGCTCAGGAATTGGTGTCTCAGAGGAACACCAGGGCTCTCCTGCTCCTTTCACAGAGGCACTTCCTGACCTTGGGGCAGATATCTTGCTGCATGACTCTCATATAAAATAGGTATGAGGCTATTTAACGTGCTTCAAAGGTGGAAACAGGAGCCAGTGGGGACTTTCCCACTGACTTGCACAACCAGGTGCTGTTCAACTGCATTCAAAGGAGGAAAGCAGAAGCAACAGAGAACTTGGGGTTGTTAAAAATAAATTGATGACAGCAGGGTCCAGGACAGGCTGCCTTCAGCAAAGTTTGCATATTAGTTACACCTCCTCTAAGCTACATTTTCAAAGCCCATGCACACAAAAAACCAGTTCTGCAACGGGGGCTTGAAAACCTGTTTGTCAACAAATAATTAGCTCACAGCTTGAGTAAGTATGTCCCAGGGGCTCAACCTGTCCTTGTGAGGAGCTCTGCCCAGGCACTCACCACAGGGGGAGGCCTGAAGCTCAACAACCCTGCTGACATTTGCGACAACATCCAAGCAATTAAAGAGTCAGTTTTATTTAACTTTTCTAAKCTATTGCTGAGTGCTTGGTGCAGTCATCACATCACATTGGTTTTGTGCCAAACCCAAAATTTTACATCTCCTTTAACCTAATTAAACTAACCAATTCAAATATGCTCTGATTTTACATCTCCTTCAACCTAATTAAACTAACCAATTCAAATATGCTCTGTCACCACTTAGCATAGCTGTTAAAAACCTCTCTGGTGGACTCTGACCTGTTTGTTTGTTAGACAGTTAAGGATAGAGATAAAATCTGCTGTGTTTAATATAACTGGGAGCTAAAGGGAATGTTTACTGTGATTTAAATAAGTGTTGAGATGCAATGCCCAAGTTTGCATTGCGGAGGCTGCCAGCCAGAAGCAAGACCCAGCTGTGAGGAGCTGCTAACAGGCACCCATGGAGAAGTCATCCTCTCAGCATAAGTAGTAAACAACTGTGAAGCTATAGATTTCCCTCCCTTTTAGCAATTCCTACTTATGGTTTACAATTTGAGTTTTATTATTAGCCATTTAATTGCAGATTCCATTAAGAATTATCTAGTCAGTTGTGTTTTAGCTGTTGGCAGTGAGCAGCTTCACTCCATGGACTTGAGCAGTTTTTCTCACAGGGTTACAGACATATGCAAGCAGTATTTCTTGGCACACAACCCCTCTCTGCCAGTTTAGGACTGAGAAGCCAACACCCCATCCCTTGGGAATAAAGTAGGATTACACACCAGGGCGTCCCCCTACTGCGGAAAAGGTCTTAATTCCCCAYGCAGGAGGCTTTTCCCACAGTCTTAGGATATATTTTCCCATTTGGTTTATGTTCCTGCAGTACTTTGGGCGGTGTAGGCTGCACAAAGCCCCCCATCCATCTTCTGCCATCATTTTTCTCCCAGTGACCGTTAGCAATGTCAGAAAATACTTTGAGCTGTGATACACACAGAGTATTGGTAAATGCAGATGGCTTCACAGCACTGAGGTATTAGGAACTGTATGACAGACATTTCTTCAAAAATGGGTTTTTGGAGAGAAACCTTAAGCTAACAGCATTAACATCTTAGGTTCTTCCTACAGTCTACAAAGCTGTTGGGCTTTACTCAAAAAAGGAAGAACTCTTAAGACTTGGTACGTGCTAGGGGACTCTCAGGCCTCATGGTCTCTTYATGAAACCAACGGCCACTGGCACAGACAGTCTGTCAGCATGGGTCAGGTTGCAGACGCCTCCACATCCTGCACAGGACCATTGGACAGGGCACTGGGCCACTGCCTTGCTTCGTATATATCTGACAGTAGGAGAGCAATATAGGACAATAAACTGTTTCTGTGCAAGAGTTATTAAGATACTTATACTTTCAAAAATAATTAGAAAAAAAAATAAAAATCAAAGGCATTTGAATAGARTATTTTCCACTCCACCACAAAAATCAGCCATACAAATCATGACCAGCAACAGCATGCATGTACAAGTTTTTCCTTTTTTAGGAAAGGAGAAACTGAAAAGGGAGGGACAAGTGGGAAGGAATAAACGGCTGAAAAAAGGAACAAATTTTAATGTACCATTATAATCTTTGAGCATTTTCTCCCTGACAAGCAAATCTGCAGAGCATTTAAGATCCATATGTGACAGAGTCAGCCAGGGAGGGAGGAGTGGAAAGAGATGCCACTTGAGCTGGCACATCAGAGGATCTTTAAATAGAAAAGCTTTCAGGGAACTCGGGGTAGGCGCTTACCACACAAAACTTAATTACAGCCATACTTGTCTGAAAAAAATATTACAGCCCTCTACTCCCCCTTTTTTTTTTTTTTTTTTTTTTTTTTTTTTTTTTTTTTTTTTTTATCTGCAGCAATTGGGTAAGGGAAGGGGGAAAAGCCACACCAGCATAGGACTCTAATCCTGACGTCTCCTGGGAGTTGATGCTTTGGGGTGGACCTGCCAGCTCCCCCTGGGGCTGTGAGCCCCTGGGGAGATGGTACCTGTTAGTCAGCTCCTCCGCTTCCTCTGGGTCCACGGCCTCCTCCTCCTCCTCCTCCTCCTCCTCCTCTTCTTCCTCCTCCTCCTCTTCTTCCTCTTCTTCTTCATCTCCTATGAAGGACGAGGTCTCAGATGCCCTGTCGCACTCAGCGCTGCGGGAGCCCTCCATTCCCTTCCCAGCTCAGGCACTTGCCGGTGATGTTTACCCCCAACCCTGTCCTCCCCAGGGCTGCCTGAAGCAACTGTCATCCCCAGTAGCACTCACTTCTCCTGACTCAGGCCAGTCTTTAAATAGAAGGCAGCAAAGTTACAGCGCAGAGTCGCTGGTGTTCCGACCCTGGCTCCTAGCACCAACCCGGTGCCAGGACACGTGTCCAAGCCCCATGGCCATCTCTACAGCTGCTCGCCCCCTTCGCCTGCCTGCTGCTGCCAGAGCTGCTTTTACAGCAGGCAGGGCAGTCAGGCAGCAGCACAGAGGAAGGGGCCAGAGCAGACCTTCCCCAAGCCACCTCTAGCAAATCTGKGGGGGGATGGCACAGATGAAGCATGAGATTTTTCCTGTAGCCCCAAGAGAGGGTGYATTTAGCAAGTTCTGCCCTTAAGCATGCCCAGAGTGCCTCAAGCTTGAGCTGGGAAGGTCAAATACAATAACTAGTGGATAAGCCTCCAACAAACACATTTAATTATTAATATAGCACTGTAAGAGGTATCAGATGYACTGTGGTATTTAACCATGCACAAGGAATGTATTTACACCCCCAATTTGTCAATGTGTTAAATCACAGGACATTTAAAACTTCCTATTTGAGCAGACTTGAACCAATTTTAGTTTAAAGCAAAGACAAACTATACTAGTATGCAGAGTTTAGGTTAAGTCACATTTACCCTTTATTATTCTGCATTTTACACAAAATGCAATGCTTTTCACAGACAAAATGGAAATACTTCCAATCTGTACTCGTGAAATTATTGACTTTATTTTAAATAAAGTATTTTTAGAAGAGAAGGAAAAGCACTAAACCCCTGATTCTGAATTAAGAACTTGMAGGATATCTCAGCCATAAATGACTGTATACACAGTATAACTCTAATGCTCCTAGCTTTTTTTTCTTTGTTCATCAAATAAAGAGCTGGTTATAAATCAGTCAGCAAACTYCTCCTTGTGCTGTCACTATAGACACACCCAACCATGTATTTCTGACCACAGGCTACCTCTGCATGCTAAATTAAAAATCTCCTGACATTCCAAAAGAGTATGCACAGGTAAAGCAAATGTTTCTGCTCTCTCGACCTACCCAGTGACATACACAATTTACAAGGTGACAATGGATTTTTTTTGAAAAGTGTATTTGAAACACATATTAAGCTAAATTAGACTCTACATTTCATCATGAGCATAGACAGTGTACACAGTAAAATGAAATTTAGGGAAGAGTACTTCTTATTTTTACATATGGAAGGCAAGAGAATTACAAGTCTTCTAGAAATGTTTATATATGAAACACACATACRTCACACAAGTTTTGATTCAGTCTCCAGCACAGGAAAAGAAAGGCAAGTATTTTTWAACCAGAAACCCCTCAAATTATTTCCAGATCTAATGCTCTCCCATCTGTACTTCGCACAGGTGAATTTGACTATAAATGGACCAAAATCACACATTCTTTCAYGTTCTTCCTACAAGCATCATACTCAGTAAAACCAAGGGAAAGATTTATATCTGGAACACACAAGGATTACAAAGAACAAGGCAAACAAAAATAAACTACAAAATACAAGACAACCCATAGCAAGTAGCATACAATAAATCAAGAGTTGCATTYTCTGATGGACTGAAATTTAACATCAAATATACTATTAATTTAGTCCGGTAACCCAAGTTCAAGTAAAGCACTAGTTCCAAATAAACAATTGAGATTCACAAATGTATTCACAAACGCTAACCTCAGTTTTTTTACAGATCATCCCAAAYAACCATGTCACCATGTAATGTGAGTCTTAAAATAGATTTATATTGATTTCTTTGTAAGGGATTGTTAAAAAATAACGCCTTATACTGTCAAAAGTACAGGTATTTAAAGTTCATGTACACATTCACATTTCAGGACAAGTGAGAGCAAGAGCTAGAAGAGAAACTTTAAGTTTCACAGTGTATAGACTATGCCAGTTCTGCATTACTGTCACCAGATGGAAAGCTCTTGCCAACATTTGGTCCTACTGTGCACCTCTGAGCCTGTTAATTAAAAGCACTCCTGAAGGACTAAAGAGAGTTCTTAAAATCCTAGAGAAGACACTAGTGGTTTCTGATACATATAGTGAGAAAATGCCAAAAAGAGTAGTCAAGGATAATAAAAAAAAATTAACTAAAGCAGTTTATTTCAAGGCAGTACCAAATCCCAGAGAACAGAGCATCTAGCACACACACTGAAACCTTGGTCAATTGTGAAAAATACCTTTTACCAAACATCTCTCAAAAAAAACCGTGTTCTTGTTAGGGTGTATGCCAAAGGATAAGCAGGTAAAAGTTTTCATTTTGAAGCTGAGGGAAGGTGAAAGCTTCACCCTAACGCTAAATTTTATGATAGCCATTAGTGAATTTTTCACTCTGGTACTTGTCCAGAGTAGATAAAAACCCAGGTCATTAAACCTCTTAACAACTTCAGACTATGCAGAACTGAATCCAAAGTCAAAGTTCAGCTCCTACCCAATCTCCCCAAACCATTTCTTTTGTGGTACTATATCTAAAGTTTTCTAACAGAAGGTGCAGCCCACAATTCGACAAACATGCTATAAACAGGCTTCTTCCAAAACAATTGGGGAAAACTACCATCTATCATTTCTATTTCTGATTATAGATGTGGCTTCTCAGAAGGATATAAACTTCAGAAAACAACACTAAAAGATTCTTTTGAAACACACAGACTGTTGGGGTTACAGACCTTAATTTGTATTAAAAATACCACTGAATTGGAAGGGCGATTTTCACAGAGTTGCTCAGAGGTAACACAATTTCTTCARCTAACTTTTTAAGAACTTTTAGGAAGAAGTGGTTTTAAACATGAAGCATTAATTTAAGGTGTAAGAAATGTTGACATATTAGATGATGAAATGCAAACTCATAAGAAAGCTTTATGCCTTTCATGAAGTTTTGTTCCTCACATTCAGCTCACTTAAAATATATTTTTACTAACTTTAAACATATATTTCTATTCTAGGCTGTGAAAGTTTTAAATTTTCTACACAAAGACAGAGCCAGCACCTTTTTAAAGAAGATATAGCCAAAACCCTTTCTCCCCAGAATCTACCTAGTGCTTGTAGAGAATCTCCAAATCCAGACATCCTCCTGTCCTAAAGTTTTGTGCTTCAGTTTTACATAAAGTGAATCAAAGTTAATGATATCACTGACACCCAAGTCCACCATCCTATAGGAGAAGGGCAGTGAGAGTGAACATACACATGGAGGAAGAATATTTCAGTGCACTGCTAGAGTCATTAAAACTTAAAGACTGTTTAAATTGCCGAAGAAAAGTCAGTTGCAGAAACAAGTCAAAATTCTATGTAAACTAGACTATGATGAAGTGTGTAGGAAGTAATCTTATATCAGGCATACAGTTTGCAATACCTAGAACTTCTAAATAAATAGAACTTAAAAGTTTGCACAAGAAGTAATAATTGTTATTTTACAGTTATAAGGGTTTTCACAATATTGTTAGAGAGTGCAATAAATAAAAATTTTGCCTATTCATAGATGTACTGYAGAATAGCCATGATAAATCTTTATGAATTGCTACAAGGATTTTACCTCATGGGGTATTTCCCATTCTATTTAATTATAGGAAATATTTTAAATGTGCAATACAAAATAACAGAAATTGGAAAAATAACCCGTATCCTCCATACATAAACTTTATTTCACTGGATACCATATAAAATATTTAACTTAAAAAAATGGAAGTATGAATTTGACATCAGTGGTAAATACAGTGTTAAAAATTAATTGGTCTTCAATAACAAATATACGAGAGGCACAAATTGTGCTAGAGGAAGTCTAAGAGAAGGCTTGCAATTTTTTTGGAAGAGCTATAATTTTCATTATTACTTATTTGGATTCAATTTACAGTGCCTAATCAATTTACAAACATTTACACAAAATCAAATGAGAAGTCCAACTTATTTTAGCACTGATGTGAGGTGTTTTGATTTTGATTTGGTCTTTTTCTCCAGAGCAGACATCAATACTACCTCAAATACATAAAAGGAAGCACTAAAAATTTTCCTGCCTACTCTGAGTGAATGTGAAGCATTTATGTGCATTGAACTAAGCTTTTTTATTTCATTTTCTTCATAGTACAACTGTTGTTGAAAATTCCAGTTTAGATTACAGTTCCTGATATTCAGAATACTACCAACCATAATCTAGTTTCATTTTCATAAACAGTTGCTTATTATTCCAAATAAAAGTGAAATAAAACTAGAAAGTGTCAGGTTATGCACAAGTTCTTATTGCAATTAGGTGGATGTAAAGCACAGGCTCCCTGTTCATCAGGAACTTAGCAGTGCACAGTACCTTAAGGACGTAGTCACAATTTGCATACGATTTCTCTGAATGTCTATGTTTCATGGTTAAATCCACCTGAATTAATGGTTACATAGATCATGCAAGCAACAAGTCAGTATATCCCCATAATTTCTTTAGAATAGATGTATTCTTGTTGTTTGCTGTGTCTTCTAGAAGTCAACAATACAAGCATTTTCAGAAAACATATCTTTGAATGAACAACTGTATTAACAAATATCAATAATAAAATATGCCACATCTTTATAAACATTTCCTTAACAAAAGTTTACAGACAAAAACAGGTCATAGAAACCATGGGGTATGTGCCTCCTGATTTTGACACTGTTCTTTATTTCAGCAGGATCCAAAAAAAAAGGAAAAATTAAAGAAGCTGGTTATCTTTTCTGTTTGGCTGTTTTTACAGGTAATATACAGTTCAGGTCCTTCTTGTCTCGTAATGACCGCCAAGCCTGAGGAAAAAAAMCACAAGATTTTTACAAAAAGACTAYATAGTCTTTGCCATTAAAACTTAAAGACCATTAAAAGCAATAAGCATCACAGTTTTGCAAAATTAAGGTTGACATTTTTCCCCTTATTGAAAAGAGATTTTGCGGATTGAGGTTTTTTTGGTTCATTTGTTTWTGGATTTTTTTTAAGGGAAGCAAAATCCAAAAGGTATACAAAAYGCAATGAACTAATATGGAAGGCAAAGCCTTCCAAGAACAGACTGGATTTGTGGAGACAGAGATGTTAGTAATGTTTTAGCATTACACTGGTATTCTAAATGCAAAACAATTGTCTCAAATTCACACAAAGTTCCCAATAAATGATGTTACATACTGTCATTTCTAGAACTTAGATGTATCTCTAAAATAGGTTGTTTCAATGTTTTTCTATATTCTAATATGAATTTCAGGACATCTGTTAGGCCATGAGTTTGCAAAGAACTGCAGACCTTCCTGCACAGAAATCATTTAAACCCCAATTTGTAGTGAAAACCACAGGAAGAACAATTCTTTCAAGGACAAAGCAGATTCCTTAAGCTACTTAAAAAGTAGTGCAAGATATTAAAAATTACTTGCCCTTTTAGAGCAACTGTCATGCTTACAGTATCGCACAAAAAAAATCAGTTTTTTTCAGGGCTGTATCACTCTAGTATATAGCTTCCAGACAGCTAGGATCAAACATTGGCTTTTATATTTTTCAGAAAAGCACACAGGTTTGAAACCAATTTTGTTAACTGAAAACTCTAAAAAGAAAAGTTCACCCTGATTTCACAGTACAATGACAGCCCAAACTACTTTCTAAATGTGACTTAACCAGATTCAAAAAATCAACTATTTTTGGTACAATATGAGAACCATTCAGTATTTCATACATTAACATGGTTAAATAGAAGRACTAATGAACATTTCTGAACAGAATTACAAAAAAAATGTTAGCCTCTTCTACTTCTTCTACCTCTTCTAAGGTATCTCTTATAGCATTTACTCTATTACAAGTATCTGGCAGTGAATTACTTTTTGCGATGAAACCTTCAAGATACTCGAAAACTTGAATAACTGGAGAAAACAGGAACCTTCAAGGACAGCTTAATAGGAGAGTCTTAACTGGTTAAAGCTGGAAGCCAATTCTATGCACTAATCCCTAGTCAAAACTAAAGTAACAAATACAGATCTCAGAAAACTACAATTTCAGTTGCAAATCCAATGCAATGCCTAYGATAGGAGAAAAGCATAAAAGGAAGTTGGTAGCAAAGATTTTCAGAAAAAGGATGTTTAACCAAGGTCTAAATTCTTCCTTTTTTCAATGAGTCTTTTCCTCCACTCACTGGGACAGTGAAAGTTCCTGTTTGAACTACTCATGTTCTAAAGTTATGAGTGAGTTCTCCCAAAACAGAAATACCCATTTAAACAAGTTGTCAAAAATCAGCAAAACCCCATTATTTTGGTGGTGATATTTATTTAAAAAAGGTATCGTAAGAAGTATAAAACATTATCTATTACCAGTCAAATTCATGCAGGAAAAATAATGAATGAAGACAAAGTTGTAATTTCAAAGCTATTGACAATAATTAGAATTTTACACACACAAGAAAATCAAGGAGAAAAGGGTTGTTACCATTTCCAGTACCCATTTCAACATAAGCCTGAAGTTTAATGGCAGACATTAATGAATACTCTAATGAAATAATTTTCCACTTTTTTTAAAAAACATATATTTGTATTGCTTATAGTACAAAGCATAAAACATCAGAAACAGGCAGGTTTAATGACTAGCATTTGTAAAACTATCTTGAAAAACAGTGTAATGAGAAAAATTAAATGAGATGTACTTTTTTACCTGTGCAAATTCCCCTCTAATTATATCAAACTTCTGTTTCTCATGTACAGCTCTAGCAGTATTTGTCCTATCAAAGGGCTCTACAAGATCAAACACAAACATTAAAACGGTTAAAAAAACTAAYTTTTAAAAAAAGTTAGGCCGTCTCCACTTACCAAGTAGGGTCAAGCATATCATTCCTTCCCAAAAGTGTTTTAAGTAGTCAATTCCTCTGGCTCTCAAGCTTTTTTTCTACATAACATTTATTTAAAAAAAACCCAGACTAAAACCAATCTAAACCAACCAACCAAC